TGAATATAAACGAAAACACGTGCAAAAGCGTCACCTGATTCGAACGTACCGGGTGGTGAGGGCTGTTGATGATCTGAAGCTAATGTTTAATTGATACAAATAGATGTCACCATTTTTTATCCCAGCTGATTAATGCAAGCCAATAGATCCTAGAGAGCTGTGTACACGGTAAGGAGTGAAATCCTGTCAGAAGTAGGCTGATTAGAAGTCTCTGTTGCAGTCACTAAGTGGCGAGTCATAAAAGGAGCATGTGAAAAGCGGTCACAGTAGTGATGTCCATCGGCTAATAGGAACAATTGGAGAAAAGTGTTTTCAAGAAGTATGGCGCTTCAAGCGCCCGCCGTCTTTGTGATTAGCTTGTATAAACATTCTCATTTCTCAACGCTCACCTGTTGTGGCCATGTAACGCCTTTAAATTGTTGACCGATTCCAGCGCAGAGAACCTTGGCCCTTTACTTCTGCAGTTGTCCCAGATCCAAAAGGAAGAAATGTAGGATCTCCGTGTCACACCAAAAATGCAGCAAACGTTAAGATTTCTTGGCAGGTGGTTGGTGAATAAGGGGTACCGAAGTTGACTTATTTGTGATATGTAAGGTCGTTTGCCTCCAGTAATCGGTGTTGGTGGTTATTGGCCCTCCCAGCGTCCATCTAGGACTCTCCACCTGGTTCGCTCACTAACGAGCTTACTAAATATTCGTTTAACACTAAATGCCACCTCATAATTTTATACGCGTTACCTCTTGGTAGTTTTAGCAGTTATTTTGCGAGGATGAATGGACGTCAGTTTGTTTTGGAACTGATGAACAGTTTGTGCTAAAGCATCGAAGTCCCCGTGACATATGAATCTCTTCCCTTCAGATAATCCTCAAAATGGGTTAAAAAACTCGAGGAGAAGCTGTACTAAGACAGTGGGAATAAAACCAAGTGAGTCAGTATGCAAAACAATCAGTACATAAAACAAGAAAATTACAGAATTTGCTTAGAGATGCATTACGGAGCATTGAACCATTCAGTAGATCGTTTGTGAAGATTACAGACAGTCCCTTGCAACACCTCAGCGGTTGTCGTTCTTCACATGGACTGGCGTGGTTAGACTTTTTGCAATATAATTTATCTTACACACAAACACGAATATTGCATAGCTTCGGATGTCCAGTTGCAGTTCTGGAGAAGGAATCCTACTGTCTAGTGAAAGCTTTCTCAAGCCAGTCAGCAAACGTCTTCTTAACATGAGAGCGAAAATAGGCGTGAGGACGTGACATGTACGCACAATGTTTGGAGCTGGTTACCTGGACTTCCCCCGTAACAAAAGAAATGAGGAAATGCAGTATGGAATTGTCAGGAGCCCGGGGGAGTGGGTGGGATAGAAGTGGATTCTTCCAACTGCTAACTGGATAGTCGATGATCTACTCCGGCCATCCGGTCTACGGCCACTCTCACACTAAGACTGAGGTTATGACGACGTCATTAGCAGCATTAGGGGCTCTTATGTAGTGAGCATAGACCAATTTCCCAACTAAATCCGAACTAAAGGGAAGTGAATTTAGAATTATAGTGTTGAAAATTTCGCTGGCTCGATGAGGAAGAAGGAGGGATTCTGAAAACATTTTCAAACTTTTATAATAAACCACGTTTGGTTGAACTGATAGTGACACTTGAGGTAGAAACAGACGTTTTGATCTCTAGTGTTGCTTGCTAGCCACCATCGTTATATAGGATTTTTTTGATTACTCAGACAGCTTTTCGACGGAGAATATACAACAAGGCTAGTCGGAAGACTATGTCTACACTATATATATATATATGAAACAAAGGATTCTGCACACACGAACTGATGAAGTAGACATTATGAGTGATGAGTCCGTCGGTTTTATATCTGTCTATCTATGAGAAAACTCTGATGGGCCCATTTCCCAAACAAGAAAAAACGGTAATTGAGAGGCTTCTAGACAGACAGCAACACGAAATTCTGGTAGATGGTATAAATCCTGGCGAACTGGGAGTAGAAAAACGGGGAGGGAAGTATTATGGGTCGGGAAGCGCTCAGAGAAATGGATTAGAAAAGAGGACTGTTTTCTCAATTCGTTGCGTTTTAGGATTTGCTCATTCGGGGCAACGTAGGCAAGAACAAGCTGCTCTACAAGGCAACGTGGCTTGATAACTTGGACAAACGAAAAATCAGACAGACTTCGTCCCAATTTCGGGAAAGTCCAGAAGCAGCCTACTGCACAAAGAATGAGGAATAGGACCAGATACTGGTTCAGATCGCTGTTTGGTGCAAAGAGCCGGCTACGTCTGATGCTATACTTTCAAATGCTTAAACTGTACTTGATATCCTTCTTTACACTTTTATGTAAATCGGACAATTTAGTGGTTCATCCTAGACTTCAGTGTTAGCTTTAGTCGAGCCGTTGTGCTCTGTGCCGTAGTCCACGGAGTAACCCCAAAACTAAAGATTTATATCATAATTACTCAATGTATTTTTTTCTGAATAAAACAAACTTCGCAGTATTTTCAACATTTTTGGTTTTTAATGCAAATCTATTTGGAACATTTTGGTTTTGATTCAGATTTTGTGTTGAAGTCCACAACCCAGTAGTGTCTGAAGTGGCTGAAACAGAACAGGTCAAACCAAAAGACTTCAAGAAAACCTGGGATAGATCACATTCCTAGTTCAGTACTTATATACCAGAGGACGAAGCTACGAAATACACCTAAACAGTGGTCATCAGCAAAACGTCCGATCTACTAGACACTGCTGTAGAAGACTGTGTGGGAGAACCCCTGAAGTCCCCCAAAGTGATGACGAAGGAAACCTGTACAGCCATCTTGGTGGAAAAGAAGAGACAGGATAGGGAATGATCCCCAATGGGAGAGGAGATGAACTGGTACAAAAGTAAGCAACGCAAGGAAAAGATGAGTTCAGTTTATAGCGTACTGAAAAAAGAGGTGAAAAGGAGTGATTAGAAAGGTTAACAGCAATTCTGTGGGACACTGGTAATTAAGACAGCACAGACCCCAGGTAAGAAGGACCTCAGACAGCTGTACAGAATACCTAGGTCTCTGTTCAGAGAGATCAGGACAGGTGAATCCACTGAAAGATAGCGAAGGCAACCAAGTTACCAGAGTGGTGAAACGAAGCAAACACTCCAATCACTCCAAAAGACTGTCCAATGGAGCACCACCTCCAACTCGTCCATATATACCACCAGCAGATGCTGAGCTACCACTGAATATCGACCTTATGACAAAGTAGAAGTCAAATTATTGTAGACTGAGAAATCGGAAGGTTGGGGGGGGGGACACTGACGACGGACCTAGTAGCCCTCCAGGAAACCAGTTAGGCTGTTTGAATAGCTTCTAGCTCGTTCCTGATCGGCTTCAACTGGGAATATCACTCACACTTGTTATGTGGCCATCTATCCTGCTATACCTGAGGCGTGGTCACACTACCTGCTGACTATTTACTCTAGCCCGCCCGGCCTTGTGGTCATACTACTGATAACGCCACCACAACTAGAGAAAGGGGAAATTAGCCTTCACATCTGTTCAAAGACGTGTTTATTAATGATGGTACGAAGAAAGTACATAGGTATACAATCACTCCAAAACGCAGTTTCACTTTTGTTCCTCGGTAACCCAATGGACCTCAGCTGAACTCAGACGGCACACGTAAACAAGCCGACCCCTGAAAGCGAAATAGCTTAATTCAGCTGGATAAACGAACTTCTCTGATCCTTTACAACCTCAGTTCATACTTTCACGGCACTACTGTGAAAATCCGGATATAAAGAAATGTGCTTGCCAAATGGAAGAAAATGTACCCTGTCAGGGCGCTGGCGAAGGCGAAATCTAAGCAAGAATTAACTCGGATTCATGCTTCTGATTATGATTACTAGATCACGCTTGAAGCTTAATCAGTAAATATTACCATACAAAACTGTGTGACCTTATCAAAATAAATTTTTCCATAATAAAATCTAGAGGAACTTACGTCTTCCGCTTTCCACTTGGGCAGCAATTTTTCAACAAAGAATATCACGGATGAAGATGTTAAAGCCAGCCGGATCGGATCGGAATGTCAAGAGAGCCGTTAATTAGTCTGAAATCCGTGTGAAAATCTGTTGCTGTAGGCACGACCAATGAGATCCGAATTTATAGGGGTAGTATCAAGTCAGTTTCTTTATAATCAAGAGATTTGGAGCTTGTGTCACCACGCGCATTTCCATATAAAGTATAATTATATTTCACTAGTTTACACACAGTGATGATTTTTTTTGTAATATTTTCCGCAAAAAGTTGTGTGTAAGCTATTGAAATATAATTATAAGTTATTTAATCTATTCCACAAAGCTAAAACTTTTCACTGAAATTAAGTGCATCTCGGATTAACTACATGCTTTCATCATCACTTGATACTGGAAACCAGATGGCTGGATGGAAAGGATGAGCAACAATGAACTCTGCCGGCTAACTAACCAAGAATCTGTCGCTCAATAAATCTGTCGAAGAATGTGGATTGAATCTACACTATTGAGATGTACAAACGCCGTCACACACCATTCCCTCGAATAGGACCCCAGTGGGAATGAGTTGGCAGTTCGATGGTGACGTTGGGGATGAAAGTGTCGAAAGAAAGTGAAAGCTTGCAGGGAGTCAAGTGAACGGTTGAACGTGATAGCATAGATCCGAGTGCAATGGAGATGTATTGCTGAAGCCGTGTCCCACACGGAATCAATAATAATAGTAATAATTCATCTGTCAATGCAAATATATTTGAAAGTGTATTTTTCACTTGAATTGGGTTCGAGTATTTGTGCTTAGGAAGCTGTGGTTCAAGCATGAAAACTTTCAGAAAGCCTCCTACCAATGTCAAAATCGTTCATAGTAAATTCTTTTTACCTATCTATAAAAGTAATCATGCAAGTAGAAATGCTGAGTTTCCTTGGTTTCTACAGACACCACTCGTGGCGCCCTAGTTTTTGTTTTTTTGAGTGCAAGGTACTTCTCGACGAATCAGATTGCTACATATCGACGAGGCCGATATGAACCTTGGATTCGCCTCATTGACATTATCATTCCTAGTTTATTTACTAGTTCCGGTTTTCTCTGGGTTAGTTTTTAAGTAGATACAAATATTTTGCTTTTCTAATACAGAAGTGACTATTATTCCATACTAAATGTGCCTCGCAGTGCCAGCAAAAGTGAAATTAGGAAAGCGTACAGGTCGCTCGCTTCCAAATTACATCCTGATCAAAACCCTGACGATCCAAATGCCGACCAGAAAATCAAGGAGTTAAATAGAGCTTATGAGGTAGTTTCTGCGAAACTTGCTTTGTGTTATTCTGAAATTTTGTCAGAACAGTTATTAGGAGACATGATATATATATTTATAAATATTAGTATTTATAATTATTTTGGGACAATTTGCCTGAACTGTCACTTTTTCTGTGATGTTAACCGGAACGTCTCAGACTGACGAAAAAATGTGTTCGAGTTTAAAAACGCGTCATATCAAATACTGGGATTGGCCGAACCAAAACATAGCATTACTCACCTAAGTCTTTGCTGTTTGTTTGAGTAATGCAGAAAGATTCAGAGTGCCTGGCTGGCGTCCGGAAATTCCAAAATCCCATGGCTATACATTGGATGGTATGGTTCAGAATCACTCTGTGGCACAGATGCATTTACTCTGGTCTGTGCGTCGGTAGCCCAGCGGTTAGGACTCTTGCCCATTATGAACATGGTCCGGGGTTTTATCCCCTGCCGAATCACACCTAATATGAATGGTCGGTCTGCAAAATTTGGACTATCGATATAACAAGCTGAAAACTGCATACTTGTACCAAAAATACGGAGTGGAATCAAGCTATGATAAAAAAAGACCTACCTTAGTTTGGACGACACTCACACAATAGCTGTTTCATTGCTAATCTCACTGGAGTACAAATTATTTATCACTTATGGTTATCTTGTGTTTCTTATGCTCCTCATTGTTATTACTATTTTCCTGGATGAATATATATCCTATATCCTGACTACGAGCTAGTATAAACCAGTGATTTCTTTGAGCTTGCTTCGTGATTGTGAGGTAGAGGTTCCAGATCTTCGGTGAGCTTCTACGTAGTAAGTCCCGCCACTCGACTGCTTTAGCTCTGGTAGACTCCAAGAGGAGTGGTGCGGGGATTGGTCAAGATGTGGTTTGTAGTATGCAGTATGTTAGGACTGTGTTGCTGCCGTGAATGGAGTTTGACCTAACTCCCGTTGGTCATTCGGTGTAGTCATAAAAGCAGAATAATAATAATAATAGGTTGTAGTATAGATAATATGGGTTGAGATAAGTGAAATAATAAAGGTGACCTAAGGAAAAGATAGAGTGAGATAAGGCAGAATGGGTCGTGGGGATGTAGTTTGTACGCTTATCCATTGACAGTGTGGTTTTAAGTTTTATGAGGATAAGCCATTGAGATACAAACCTTCCATTTCTGCATGATTGTCTAGCTTCCGCTTAAAAATCTCCACAGATGGCGCTGTAGTCACGGCCGCCGGTAAAGCGTTCCAGAGACGGCAAACTCGAAGCGAAAAGAAATGTGGTCGCACTCGAGTCTTTGGTGTCTGGTGTGCTATCCTTAGCGGGTTACCTCGTGGAAGCCTATAATCACCTAATGGCAGGATGCTTTTATTTGGGTGGGCCTGGTTATTTAAGATCTGGTAGACGGTGATGAGGTCTCCTCTTTGCCTACGGTAACTAAGTGTGAAAAGACCTAATTTCTTTGGTCTTTCCTCGTATGATTTGTTGCGGAGGCCAATCACCCATTTTGTCGCTCGTCTCTGGACACTTTCTAGAATGTTAGCATCCCTTTTGAGTAGCGGAGGAGCAATGATATGATGCACCTCAAGGTGTGGCCTCACATATGTCTTATATAACCTTAAGAACAGTTCGGGAGTAAGAGCTCCCAGCTGCCTATGCATAAAGTGTTAAGTTGCGTAGGCTTTGGCGACGTTTCTCGCGTAATTTCCACTGGTTTCTAGCTTTTCTGTTAGAATAAGACCTAGATCGCGCTCTGATGGAACACAACTCAAGTTCTGGCCACCAAGGGTGTAATTTACACTCTGTGACCTGCCGGAATGAGGTTGCACTACTTTGCACTTCTTTAGGTTGAAAGGCATTCCGTCAGCCAGAGCCCAGTTTCCCAGAGTTTGCGGGTCAGCCTGCAATCTGTCTGAGTCTTCCGATGAGTTTATTGCTCTCCAAATCTTTACGTCGTCAGCATAAAGAAACGCAGAGCAGTTTAGTTGGGAGGGCAGGTAGTTGATAAAAATCAAAAACATCAACTGCCCTAGGATAGAACCCTGAGGAACCCCTGATGCCGAGGTGTGCCAGGATGATCGGATGCGGTTGACTTTGGTGCAGAATTCTCTCTCGCCTAAGTAATCTTTCAGCCATGCGAGAAGTGCTCCAGAAACACCCGCCTTGCTTATTTTGTGAAGGAGCAGACCATGGTGAACTGTGTCGAATGCATTCGCAAAGTCGAGAAAGATCACATGGGCTGGTACCTTTTCGTCCCAGGATAGTGTCCAATCGTTCCAAGCTAGTAGGAGATTCGTCACGCAGGATCTTCCCCTCCTGAAACCGTGCTGTGCTTCGTGGGGAAGGTTAGTCCCGTCGAAGTATTTTCTCATGTGGTCGTCATTGAGACTTTCCAATATCTTCGATATCACTGGAAGTAGAGCAACTGGTCTGTAATTGGTCGCATTCTGCCGGTCACCACCCTTGAAGATAGGGGATAGGATTGCTCGTTCCCATTCACATGGAAGTTTCCCTACATCAAGGGAGTGTTGGAACAGATCACTTAGGGGTTGGCAGAGACTTTCTGAACACTGCTTCAGGATGGATGGTCTGATGTCATCACAACCTGAAGACTTTCCCGAAGCCAACTTTCCCAATTTTACAAGTACCATAGCCGGGGTAATTTGAAATGTACCCAGCAGGTTTTCGCGCGTTGGTTTGGCAATGTAATCTTTTTTTTTTTTTGATTTACAGCTTGATTCCACACTGTATTTTTGGTACAAGTATGGAATTTTCAGCATGGATATCGGTAGCCCAAATTTTACAGGCCGACCATAGATATCAGGTGTGCGTCGGCAGAGGATCGAACCTCGGACCATGTGCATGGTCGGCGAGAGTCCTAACCACTGTGCCACTGTGGGGGTAATATCCTCGTTACTGTTTAGTTGCCTGTGAAAGGCTAGGCTGAATGTCTCTGCCATTTCAAGACTAGTAAGAGATTTCCCATCAGAACCCACTAGATTGCATGCTCCCTGGTTGGTCGGTTTTCTTTTAGACATAAACCTGTATAGGCTTTTGGGGTTCACGAGAAGCTTATTGGCGAGGTTTCCCTGAAATGTCCTTCTATCGCTCCGGACTCGTATGTTACATCGATTCCTGAGTTCAAGGTACACTTCATGTTCGGGTTGACTCTTCGATCGTCGCCACGCAAACCAGGCTTTTCGCTTCGCCTGCAGAAGGCGTTGTGTCCCCCTTTTTAGCCATGAACGTTACTTCCTAGCTTTTGGTGTGACTAAAGGAACAGTGTATGAGACCGCCTGGTGAATGATCTCCTTTACTACTCTCCAGTGTTCTTCTACTGTTAGCTCTGTCCATATTTTAGGCCAATTTGCTTCAAACAGAAGTCTTCGCATTTTGGTGTAATTGGCTTTGTTATAATACAGATAGGGCTGTGTAATGTCCCACTGTGAGCGCTCGCGGAGGACTATGTCGAATACTATGACCGCGTGGTCACCACTACCTATGGGAGTCGTGATCTGAACGTCTTCCACTAGTAGCTGGTCACTAGTGAGCACATAATTCAGTCTAGAAGACTTCCCATCTGGGCCATCCATCCTGACATTTTCAGTGAATCCAGCCTTCCTCATGGTATACAGCAGATTTCGATCAAATCTACCATATGCGTTTCCCGACACCAAGTTAAGAGATGGGGCATTGAAGTCGCCAGCTATGACAATTTAATCATAACCCATGTCTTAAGTCGCTGAGATTGTATTTAGCAGTACCTGGTTGTGGTCTGCTCCACATAAAGGTGATCGATAAATGCTGCCCACTAGATATTTGCAGTACCCAACGGTGAAGTGGCACCGTATGGAGTCAGGGAGCTCAGTGAGGGGAGGGTCCATCACGTGAACACATCTGAGCTGTTTGTCGACGTATATGGCGACTCCACCTCCTTCTTTCAGGTCCCTATCTCGGCTGACTAGGACCATATTATTTATACTGACTTCGTTGTCTGCCACCGTAGGGGTTAGCCAGGTTTCCATCAGTAATATGTTTTTGGAGTTCAGCTGTGATTGTAGGTGTCTAAGTTCAGCTATTTTGCCTCTTAGCCCTCTCACATTACTGTACAGGCAACTGGTAGTCAGTCTCACCACTTCCCCGTATTGGGGGGTAGTTGACTTGATGTGGGCTATCGGTTAAGGAGTTATCCTATTCTTCTATAAACTGTAAATTCTCTTCTACTTTATTTTGATTTGTACAAATGGTTATTATTGTTACTTGTCAATTAGTGTAAATAGACCGTATAGCTCTTATCATATAATTGGTTGGTAGCACTGTATCGCTTTTTAAGGTGGTGAGAAAAAGGGAGTAAACATGTATTTAGAGAGTTTTTGAAGTGTTCAACTTCCCAATCTGTCTATCTGTCCCAATCGGTGTGTTTCTCCTTGTGAGCAACTTTTACAATAATACAGTTTTCGGGATCACTGGTCAGCATGTACTGTCTGTGATACATGGCTCGAGCTGCTTTCGCTAACGTACGCCATCTCTGGCGTAGGTGTGACATCCGGCTATCAACCAAGGGACGTGTGTACTGCTCAGCAGTTCGCTCTGTCCTTCTCTATGGCTCTGAAACGTGGTCACTACGAGTTGAAGACATGAAAAGGTTGACTGTTTTCGATCATAGATGTCTACGATCTCTTTCTCACGTTAGGTGGTATAATAAGGTAAGTAATGTTGACGTTAGGCGTAGAGCGTTGGGAAAAGAGGGCAAATCAATCGACGAGGCCATAAAGTTACATAGACTGAGATGGCTAGGTCACGTGCTGCGCATGCCTAACCATCGCCTCCCCCGACGGGCATTACTAGCTGATATAGGTGTAGGTTGGAAAAGAGCCAGTGGTGGCCAAACAAAAACATGGCATCAATCCATGAAATCCTTGACAGTTAAACTGAGTCAGGTAGGGAGATGCAGACTCCCGGGTTGGGGGCCTCGGGACTCTAGGAATCAATGGCTGGAGACAATAGGTGACATGGCTCAAAATCGTTGTCAATGGCGCAGATGTATTCAGTCTCTGTAATCTTTCATATTCCTTTCTACCATTACCCATTCTGTTTCACTCTTATACTTACCAAACTCTATTGATTCTCTTCACTCATCTTGTCTATCTTTGTGTGCTATTTGGAACGTGGCAGCTGGAACTGCTGCACTTCGGTGCCAAGTTCTATGTTGAATCCAGACAGACTAGTTGGCCGGTTTTTCAGGAACCGGCCTGTTGGCGTTCTTTTCTTCTGGTTCAGTCGGAGCACTTGGATGACACTGGGTATCATCGTCCGTGCTGCACCGCTGTAGTGTGACTAGGGGTTGAGGATTTTTTTTGACAACGCTTTGTTCTCTCCTTTGGTTGCGAGGCCGGCTCTCACAGTAGCGAATGTGTTTGTGACCTTGTCCTTGGTCTCGTACCATCTTTGGAGAGCGGTAGTCAACTGGTTTCGGCAGCTGAACTTAACAGCTAACAGATGTGGCGTGTTAATTGACATAAGGTGAGTAGGTCGAGGCAGTCTATTAATAGAGACAGCCTCTGAACTCTCCAGGGCCATCTGGGATGCCAACCATCTCCATTGCTGTACGTCGTGACAATGCTTCTCGCAGGCGTTCCCAGTTCCCAGTTCGGGAATGCCATGAACAACCACGGAGGCAGAAGGAATAAGCTCTGGCGACTCCCTCGCCATCTTTCTTTCCACGGCCTGTCTGGCGTAACACGTATGTTGCTGGCCCTCCCTATAGAAAGGACTTGAGAAGCCAGTAACACTTTTTCGACATCCTCGGTAGAGCCCAATGTTACCCTCAGTGGGGATGGTTTGCCTTGAGGTGCAGCAGTGCCCCTATACAATCTGCATAGATTTACTGGTTGGATGTCCAGACCCAGTGTGCTACACAAGATGGACCACTGTTCCTGATCAAATAGGGCCCCATCTTCCAGCAGACTACTACTACAGTCTGGTACACTAAAGAGGATTACACAGTTTGATCTACTAACCGTGGGCTTAGGCTCGGTCCTCGCACATTTGTGATCCCCTTTAAGACCGTTTTGTTTCATCTGGTGCGACTGGGTATTTTTGTGTGTCTCAGTGCCATGGCCAGTATTACTGGTAGACGATAGGGGTCTTTTTCCAACGACAGAAACTCGTGGTGCTTCAGCCTCTGTGTTTGGAGCGGTTATGGCAAGAGTTGCAAGTTTAACCGGTGAGAATTTTGGTATCCCCGGTGCATTTGTGCTATTTTCCGAGTTGGTGGGAGTAGAACATTTCACGTTTTTCCCTGGTACCTTTGCGCCATCTTTAGTTTTCAAAGGAATACGCGAGGCTACATCAGGACGGCAACCTGGGCATATGTATCAGAACCATGGGCATGGGTTCTTACGCGTAAAGTCACAATATACTTTTGGTACCCCATTGCCGCATCTACAATGTACCCATCGCTTGCAAAAGTTACATTCGAAGGCAGAGTCTGCTTGTTCGACAACAGAAGCGCAGACCTTGCAGTTGTCTGCCTTCTTGGGGAGCGTTTTTGTCGTCTTGCGACGTCGTGAACGTTTCTTTTCGGCCTTCTTGTTTGTTTCATGGCCTACCATGGAGATGGGTGTTATACAGTTCTCACTTAGTGCAATTTTCCCACTCAGCTCTGTTAACCTAGTCATGTTAACAGGGATGGAGCCACATCCACTTGGTCGACTTTGCACAGCTTCACTGTAGGACTGTGGCGACATGGCCAATCTATACGAGCAGGGAATATTTGCCCTGGTCTTCAAGACCGGTATGCGAGAGTCCATCACCTTCACCTGTTTGCCTAGTTTGGCTGAAGCCCTGGTGACTACGGAGTATGATGTCCCATTACTTATCTTAGGGTGAGAATCTATCGTCACATTACTCCTAAATTAATACTGGTGATTAAATAGTAAGAGACAGTGTTATTTTGTCCAATAGACTGACAGCAGAAGAAAATAGAGAGCACAGAACAGAAGGATAAAGTATATAAGTAAAAGCTTTTGACTTTACCTGTAACTTTCGGGTTATTAAGCTTCACAGCAATCACGTAACAGACCAGCAAGTCCTGTATATTTGAAAGAGTGAGGAAGATGTTGCTACAGAAGTAGCACCTGAAGCTGTGGCAGTAGTTCGAGACAGCGGGAAGTACCACACACAGGCTCAGTGAAGAAGAAATGGTTGAATAAAATTCGCCGGGTAGGAAGATCAGGTTTCCCAAACGAATAATTCATAAAAATGGATATTTCCGGTTAAAGAGGAAAAAGCACGTCGAATCGAGGTGAAATATTCTGCATTGTGAACATTAAAGTCTTGTATTTGTTTTTAAGGAATGCATTTTTCTTTCAAAATACTTCTGTTAACTTAGGTTCTTAGCAAAGATGACAAACGTGAGATTTATGATCGATATGGCGAGGAAGGTTTGAAAAACCAAGGAATGCATGACTTCAATCCATTTGGTTTTACTCAGTCTTCCTCCGAAGAAGCCCGCGGTGGTGATATTGTTATGGACTTATGGGTTACTCTGGAAGAGCTTTATGTGGGAGTTTCTTTCGAGGTGACCAGACGTAAACTGATTAAAGTCCCTGCACCTGGAACTCGGAAATGCAACTGTCACATGGAGTTACGTACAACCGTATTGGGTCATGGTCGCCTCCAGATGCATCAAGAGCAAGTCTGCAGTGATTGCCCAAATATTCAGTAAGATTATTCAATACAGTTCACAGAGTTAATTCGAACTATACACCTTTATATTGTACTTCACTTATGAAGGCTTAATCGTCTACAATTTTTGATGAGAAAATCTGGTTACATCTGGATAGAATGGGATTTAAACAAAATATTTTCGTAGTTCTTAAAATGTTGTGAGGGTTCCCAGAATTCTCATACAGTTTTGTTTAGCTTAGGTCAGAATTTCGGTATTGTGGTTTGAGTATTTTGGACTTCCATTTATTCATAAAGTATGAAACTTTTGAACCAGTGACTATTACCAATCAACTTCATTTTCTAAGTATTTGTTTTCATATTGTATTAAATTCAACTTTAGTTTCTTCGACTTGTTACTCCTATCAGATGAAAAAAATGGTGAACATCACTGGGTGTCACTGAGTCAACGTATGCTTCATAAGCTACCACATATTCAGTAAAAAATCTCGTTACCATTGTGCTCATTTTATGACATCTACAGTTTCGTTTCTATGCAGGAAATTCCACAAGCATTTTCTTGTTAACGTTAATTGGACAAGTTATGCAGAAATTACCAACCGGTCACCCATACTTTACTGATATTTCTACTACATTAGTCCGACATGTATCGTCAGCCTAAAATATGTCTTTTCATGCTGCATAAGTTAAGCTTCCGCTTATGCAGTTATTTGAGTGCTTATGGATCTTTTAGTAGTACAAGCATCTACCAGACATTTAGATTTAGACAGATTTCACAAACCAAATCAGAAAAAAGTTACTCTAACGAGCAATTAGTCAGAAATGGGAACTCATCCACAGAATACAGGAAGTTTCCAGGACCACTAACATTCAAATAATATGTAATAGGGAACATTTCCGGAAGGAAACGGACAAGTTCTCTGACAATAACGTAAACGAGAGTCTATGGAACAGTGGAATTAACCAACCACTGATGTGCTTTGTTCTTCAGAAGGAGATTCTCACAACTACTGACATAAAAGTACCGAGTTCGCTTCATCGTCAAGCAGCATAGATGATATGCAGACTTATGTTTCAAACGTCTGAAAGTGGATGTCAAAGCATGTAAAGAGACAGATCATTTGTTGACTAAACTGATATATATATATATATATATATATATATATATATATATATATATATTACTTCCCCTTTCTAATTTGGTAACTTCAGTAAGCAGAAATGACGCAACTATGAAATTTCATACATTAAGTTTTATTTCATTCCCAAGTTTCATCCCTTCGAATAAGAATCTGTTTTTAAATAGTGTATGAAGGAAATTTCTGTTTTGTTTATGCTCAATTTTCTTTGTTTTCATTATTAGTTTTGTACCTGAAGACCGAACTCTTGATGTGGAAATTGAACCGGGAATGAGAGATGGCGAGATTTACCCGTTTTTAGGCGAAGGGGAACCCCATCCAGATGGTGATGCGGGTGATTTGAAATTCCGTATTCGACAACAAAAGTATGAGAACATTTTTGTTTATTTAGTTGTAGATAACATAAATTGTTTTGTATTTGTAGACCACTATTTTGAAAACCACTTTCAAGCCGCAGATTGATTATGCATATATATATATATATATAATCAAAGGCTTGAGACAAAGTTGGTTAAGACGGAAGAGTCTGTCGATGAGTTTGTGAAGCTCTGTCTATGAAGATGGTTAAGTGACATGTCACGAACACCGAGTCACTGTCTTCCTCGATAAGCAATATCAGCCTAAGTAGGATAGGTCAATCGAATCCATTTTTACAAATAATCGTCATTTTGTTCACGCTACTATGTAATTGAAAATAAAGACATAGGTTGCGTTAATTCTGTGTATATCTCATCTTTATATTACTCATTGTTCTAATTATCTTTGTCAGTCTCATATACTGTAGGTACCACACTATAGATTTATGTCCTGTAAAATATCTAACTCGTGATTAAGAGATGGTGCTAAAGATATCCAGAGGGACAAAGAAGGCTTCGCAACTAGACTATCCAACTCAGAAAACGCAATACCTAGAATTGTAGATGCATGAGTGATGCATTTTTGACTACTGTTAACATTTTTATGTTTTCTTAATTAAGAAGACTACTTACTATTTTGATATTTTAGACATAAAACTTTTCATCGACGAGGTGATGACCTGTACACTAATCTGACTTTAACGCTTGTTCAAGCACTGAATGGATATCATATATCGTTCCCACATTTAGATGGCCATCAAGTAAGTAATTGCTTATCATGTTCATTTTTGTATGTGTGTTTATATAAAGGTAAACTGACGCAGTTAGAAAAAGTTGCAAATAGTATTTATTTCCTCAAACAATAAATTTCGTATATTACAACAGACATAGTAGTTAAGTATTGGTTTGTAGGGATTTGGTTGAATGGTTACAGGATTTCATCATGAGCTGACATTGGTTAGGGAACCATTGGAAAACCTGGGAGTGCACAATAGTCGCTGACCTTTTCATGAATAGATTCGACGATAACGTCTTTTCAAGCATACTCACTCCCAAAATATGGTTAAGATATGTAGATGATACTTTTGTAATGCTAAAACGAGATCTACACAGTCCATCTCCCAAAATCCAGTTTACTTTGCTAGCAGAATCAGACGTCGATGAACTACCATTTCTAGACTGCCTAGTTAAGGGGAGGAAAAACGGACATTTTAGCATATCTATATTCAGGAAGAAGACCCACTCCACTAAATATTTAGACTTTGGATCATCACACCCTATCAGCGCAAAGGTATCAGCTGTTTCGAGTCTTCTTAGACGAGTACATTCTCTGATGACAGATGAGAAAGAAAAAGAAGAAGAAATATCAAACATTACTGAAACTTTCAAGCAAAACAACTACCAAAAGGACCTCATCAACAAAATCAACGCTGACGTTAAGTGTGGTCGAAAACGTATTCCGAAAACATGAACCTCAACAATTGTCATTCCATATAGAGCAGAGACGTCAGACGATATCAGAAGAGTACTCAATCAGCTCGAAATCAGAGTTTTCTTCAAAACATCAGACACACTGCGGAACGATCTTGTCCATGTAAAAGACCAAGTCTCGAAGATTCTCTATTTACTTGGAATGTGATGCGATATACATCGGACGAACATCACGAGATATCTAAATCAGAAGAAATGAACGCCGTAGAGCATTTGTTCGACTACCGAGAAATGCTGTTGACTTAGAAAAGCTTGAGAAATCATCAGTCATACACACTATAGAATCAGGCCACAAAATTGATTCTGACAATATTGAAATAATCCAGAAAAACTTCAGTAATCACAAAGAACGTCTAATATCATCAGAAGTACTTCATATCAAGTGAAATCTAATTTGTTTGAATAGGAATGATGGATTAAAACAGAATTTGACCTTGTTGCAACAACCCCGTTCCCCATGAAGTGACAAAATCAACACGAATGTGATAAGCAGTTTCATTATGTACACACACACACTGCTTTTATAATTTTACATACTTATCGAATCCAACAATCTACACCTGGTTTTGTTATCTTTACCAATTGGCCAACTTGAAAAGGCAAAACATTATCCCATGCTGAGGAACGATGATTAAGTTGTTATATATAAGCTGAGATTTTGTAAATTCTGGTTTAATAATACCTTGATGAAGCTAATAGCAGCACTATATAGCGAAACGTCAGTAGAAACAACAATATCACTTTGCTCTTTTTCATTCATTGGGAAATACAAAAAGAACCTTTATTATAATGAATACCCAATGCCCAAGTTTTTCAAACTGTTAAAAGTGAACTTGGTTTTGACATATATAGACACAAGGAAAATTGTTCACCAGTGTTTGTAGATAGCTATCACACTCCAGTTAATGTCTAAACTTTAGGTCATCTCACCGCATATCCACAAGAGTAGTCTTAGTTAAATGCTTAAGTAACCGAGTGAAAATTCAAATCAGCACATTAGACAACCTAATAAGGAGATGAAAGAGATAGAAGTATTACCATTAAATAGCTATCCCATAAAATTCATCAGGAAGTTAAAGTAAACTTGAATGAAAAAATGACAGTATTAATATTGAACATGATATAAATAATCTATAGTAATGTAATATAAGAAAGGGACACCCGAAACTCTACGTAGGCGGGAATTAGGGTGGTGTCCAAACTTACTCAGTAACAGACTTATAGTCTTTACTTAGGGAGCCGTGTTGACTACAATGGAAAAGCAGGGATGCGGGGTGGGATTACAGAGTTTCCAAAAAAACCCTTACATCACCCCATTATCACTGTAGGTGTCTCGAAAGGGAAGTCAAACCGCCGTTATACTCTTGTTGACTATGGTCAGTAGTTTCTCACTTGAACTCAGCATGTGTCATACTATAACTGTAACTGTTTTTAGTTTTGTCACAATCTACCCTACCTATCTGGCATGTTAAAACCTCGTTAAGTAGTGCTTCCAATCAACATGATATCACAAACATGTTAGTTTTATCGAAGTATGTGGTTCGACAGAAAAAGTAAACAATATAGCAAAGCAAAATAATCTTTCCACTAATTCATGATTTCTGTGTTGGAATCAACAATAACACTTATTGGTTGAAGCGATCTCAATACGAATGTAATATTATGAACTATATTACTGCTTCATAGATACGTTAGCTATAGCTCAACAATTTATCTTAATTCTAATTACTGTAATAGAAGTTGGCGATTGTGGAGAGACGTTTAAGTCAACGGAACTGTGAATATCACAATGACTCTTTTTCATACAAAAAATTTGGAGGATTTATGAGTAGGTTCATAGAAGATCTGACTATTTGCAACTGTTTAAGCCAGGTAAATTATTTGCCTAACAGGACTTATGGTAATATTGATTTTTAAAAGTATCGTAGTCTAGTAATCTGTAATATGCATGGGTGGCGCAGTGGTAGAATGTTCACCGACCACACATGCGGTTCGGGGTTTGAGTCCCGGCCAACACACTCCTTTAGCTCACTAGGCCGGTAATAAGACTGGTAAAGCGAGAAGATTGGGCATGAGGCTAGTAACCCCATCCCGTAAAAGTAAACACCAATGCTACTGACACTTCAAAGCTCTAGCTTGAAGCTTTATGTTCCAGTTGGGAATTTAGAGATGGCAAAGTTCAACAATAGCGTCCCAAGAGATGCGAACACACGAGTGTCCTTGAGCCGATCAATCATAAAAATGAGGAATTTTTGCATGAGAAATGACGATTATTTACAAGAAAATGCAGGAATACACATTAAATAGGACATCTTTCACTGACATGAATTAAAAATACGTCCCAGCTATAATGAGAAGTATCAGTTGCCAAGTTAGACTAGTTTCTGTACATGTATTCACCGAGATGACTGAAGATGAGCTGTTTTTGTAAGTCGTTTATCTCTCTAATTCTGTTATGCAGTCTTCCCCAAATGCCTTTGGTTGAATTACTATGGTTTTCAGTAAGACGATCGACTACTACTTATCAGGGAAATGTAGATAATAAGACAAATTAAAATAAATGACATAACCTCTAAATCTATCCCTAATCGTAACCCTTACCTTATTCCTGACCGTGAGGCTAAACTTAACACTAACCCTGACCTTAATCCTAACCCTAATTACAACCTTAATTCTAACCTTAGCCTAACTGCAATCCTAATTATGACACTGATCCTAGCCCTAACCCCAACACTTACCTTAACTCTTATCTTAATCTTAATGCGATATTAACACACTGTCCAAACATTATTTTAAAACGTGGTCTGCGTGAAATTTGATCCAAAGTTGGTGAATAGCATTGATATTTCAGCTATGATGATGACAGGTGCTGTTAGCCAACGACCAGCCAGCGTTCAAGGTTATTAGAGCGTTCGCACTTCTGGGACGCTATTGTTGAACTTGGTCTAAGAAATCTTGCAAAAGAAGCAAGTCCAGGCCCTACTACTGCCCCCTGGCTTTCAGTGGAGACCATAAATTCATGAATTTGTATTATTATCTTTCCTAATTTTTCGGACATTCAGTTTATTGTCATGTTGATGCTACTGAACTGTAATCTATTGATATTACTGGTTCGATGTTATTTAAATAACAACATTAATGTTGTTCATAACACTAATTCATTCATTGACTATAATGTATGTATAACTGTAGAGTCTGAGATGATGAAGTTATCGAAAAGAGTATTCTTTGTTCAGTATACACACTTTTAAAAATCTATATTGTTTGACAAATTGAATCCCTCTTAGAAAAAAAACATATCTTTTCAAGGTTCCAAAGTCTTTCTTTTTATTTATTCCTTTTTTTATGTGTAAACTTGTGTTTATTTTTAAAATTTTCTCTTTTTGAAGGTTGTTCTGTCAAGTGATTATGTTACAGCTCCAGGAACAATTATTCGTAAACTAAACGAAGGAATGCCTAATTTTGAAAACAATAAACTTCGTGGTTCATTGTATATTACAATTGATATTCAATTCCCTGATAATTTTAAAATACCCAATGAACAAAGAGCAATAATCAAACAATTATTCGATTCATCTACACCTTCATCTGACACAGTATCTAATGAATCGGATAAACCAATTCTAACAACTTCATACAATGGACTAGATGGAATAAGCAAAAGGCCTAATATGAAAATTGTGAATTAAATTAGTTGTCTTTTGACTACCTTTTCAAAATGCAATCAGCCTTCTTGCCTGTATTTGTAAAAAAAAGACGCAACAAACTAACGAAAGTAGTTAATTTTACTTTTGTAAAGTGAGTGATCTTTTTAAACATATTAAGTTTATCATTTTTCTCATCTTCAACGCCTATTGTGTACAGTTTCACTGTTTATACAATCCATTTTTATAGGGTTAAATCCAATCGCCCTTTTTTCTCTCTTAATGTTTCTTTCAAGTGATAAAATTAGGCTTTTTGCATGTAGAATCAAGTAATTGTTGTTGTTGTTGTTATCATCGTTTTTATTTTGTGTATACCTTAGTTTACACCATTTTGAATTGAATTTCCTGCTGCAATAATAGTTTTATTAATATTAGGACAAATGAAAATTGAATCAGTGTAAAGTTTTGTTTACATTTATTTCATGTATTATGAAACTTTGTCTTCTTTCTTTCTTTCTCTCTTTTTATACACATGATTGTTTTAAAACTGAACTTCTTTTTTTTTCACTTTCTTACTATGAAAATAATCAGCTATTGATCTCACCATGTCTTCATTGTTTTTCTAAGGCTGTACAAAAAGAAAATAGTTACTCCAAATACACATTTGAAAAAAAAACTTCATGCCCTTCTCTACTATTTCTCAATAGCCTTAGAATCCTTAAAAGAAAAAGAAAGTTCAATTTGGCGGTAGGCTGTAGTTTTATGGGATAATTTAAAGTTTCTCTTGATCGAATTAACTTTTACCAACTTGCTTGATCTGTTGGTATAGTTAAAAATTAAGCAAAATTATAGTTGATAAGTTTGTGCTAGCAATTTTCAGGAGTTATGGGGCCACGAGAAGAAAAGTTATTATGATATGCAGATTTACAGTGTGATGGGATTTAAGAAAAGGTTTTCAGTGTTAGTATTCCCTGGGGTATGGCGACAGATAGCTGTTTTTATTTGAAACTGCAAGTGTTCGGTTCAGTTGGACAATGTTGGCCCTTTATTTGGATAGAGTTCCTTAACATCCTATTTTCTCTTCATGTTATTCAAAGGAAAAAAAGCACCACAAGGTTAAATAAGGTATCTTTAGTCATATTTACAGAGTACGACCACTACGTTGTATAAAAATTTTCCCACTAGGTATTCATTTGTGTAGTGTTAGAAATGCTGAATGCCCTGTTTATCCGTCCAATTTCTTTCAGTAAGAAATTATATTTCACGAATGTTGTCAAAAAGATTTAAAGTATGAGTGTTTGATACAGTCGTAACAAGTATACAGAATCTTTCTGAGGCGTCTTTTAGAAATTAAAATTCTTCTTTAGATTACAACATATGATTTTCTCAAACAGCTGAACTGTTCCAGTTACTTAGAATTTGTTATTCTACTTGAGTAGATCCAAGTACAAGTAAGTAGCTAGCCAACATTTGGGTGGGTCGAATTATTGAACTGTTTGGATTGATTCATTCTGAAGACTGCAATGGAAGTTGGCTCTGGATGATAAAACGGCTGTCCAGATTTTCAAATAACTTCAACTATCTAGTCCTGGCTGTTGTTTTTTTGTGAATGGTTTTTGCAACCATTCACGGTAATCGTTAGTATGTACTGTATAGTTTCCACTGGTTCACAGTGGAGTTGGAACTTAACTTAGTCTACATCAGTTGATGTTCTCTCTTCACTTTGGTCTAAGTTGTCAAACTAACTGGACGGACTGGTTTTAACATGGATCTTTGCATCGATATGCAGCATTTCGAGTTGCCACACTTCACCCAACACACAAAGCCAGAGAAGAAAGTAAAAAGAAACGCAAAATAGAGACACCAAACAAAGATATGAGGCAAAAAGAATAGTAATATCGAAGATCCATGTAGTTTTATTGGATATTATAAGTCACAATGAGTGGATGCATCTGCATCAGGCCAGCCATTGACAACGATCACTTTGACCCATATCACCAATTGTCTCCACCTAGTGGTTTTTGCCGTCCCCAGGACCCCGACCAAGCTGGCAGTCTACACTGCCCCACGTGCCTGGTTTAAACTAACTGTTGTGGATTTCATTGATTGATGAAGCCATGTTTTGGTTTGACCACCACCAGCTCTTTTCCAACTTTTGACCCTATGTCACCTAACATTACCCGTCGGACAAAGCGGTGGCTAGGCAGGCATGCGTAACATATGTCCTAACCATCTCAATTGATGTAACTTCACAGTCTCGTTTATTGATTTTCCTTCCTTACTTAGCACTCGACGCCTAACCTCAATATTGCTCACCCTATTATACCACGTCACATGGGAGATAGAACGCAGGCACCTATGATCAAAGACAGATAGTCTTTTCTTGTCTTCCACTCTCCGTGGCCAGGTCTCACAGCCATAAAGGAGAACGGAATGAACTGCTTAGCAGTACATACGCCCTCTGAGCGATAAGCAGTCGGACATCACATCTACTCCAGAGACGGCGTAAATTGACATATACGAAACTAGCTCTCTGTATCCGTGCTGAGATTTTGTCAGAATCAACCCGTTGGGCTGGCTGATGCAACTTCCCAAATAAGTGAAGCGGTCAATGTGCTCTACCACTTCACTGCCTATTTATAAGCTAGGAGTCAATGTAGTTCAGTCCTGTAACATCATTTTACATTTGGTGGGAACGAATCGCATGCCCAACATTCACAGAATGCAGCTCAAGGTGTTTAGAAAACTCTGCATTTTGTCAAGACTATATAATCTGTATATTCGAAGTCAACGAGATTATTCCATGGAGTGGCTTTATTGCATATCTCCGCTAATTATGGCATCGTAGTCCTTTGCTATGGTGGTGTTCTAATGACAAGTTCTATTTTTGTATGCTTTCCTGGCGTACACATTATCAGTAACATTATATAATTAGACTGAATTACATTTGTTGAACTTTTATCAGAAAAGTAGCTTGATACTGATGTCTGCGCAATGTTGTAATGGATTAAAGGAGGCATTTAGTTCAAAAGTTAAACGTATATTATTGAATTTTCATGAGGTTATGCTGGTATACTCTTTGACCTGTTTATTGAAATGCCCTTATACCCACCTGGCAAAGGTGGCGCTACTTCATAAAAAGGGATATGCCATTCAACTGTGTCACTCATTAGTTTTCATAAATCAAATATTTCTTATAACAGCTAGTGCACAAATCCTTTCATTTTTTGAAATATATGACATTATAAATTGATAATCGTACATAGAACTATAGAATATGAATAACTTTTATAGTAAGTAATATTTATTCGTATATTTTATATAATTAATAAATATGTATATACGACAGACAGTATGGAAGAAGTATGCATAAATGTGTACGAAAGTAGTACATCTTTGTTGTGGTTTCATCTGTATATATGGCATGAATAGATGCATGTAATATATATATATATAACAAAAAGTTCGCTTTTATAGGTATATCATTAAAGTGGCAGTTGAATAAATCAATTACAGTTTTAAATTGTTTTCATTTATTGTAGTTTTGATTGGTGGTGGTTAACCAACCAACCATGTATTGATTAATCATCCAATTGACATAATAATGCTACTCCTCTCATAATCCAATGACTTTCTGGTTTATCCGATGATAAAAGTATGGGTAAAACAAAATTTGTTGAATGTCCAGTTGTGGATAATACACCGCGTCGTTCACTTGTCTTGTAAACTGGAGCTGAATAACTAGGTCTTGGTTGAATATCAGATTTTTTCATTGGTATTAACCAAATCTGCGATAATAAGATACATTTTTAGAAAATATAGTAAATATATACAAATAATATCCGTTTTTCATCATTAGCTGAAATCACTTAGAGAACCATTGGAAATTTTGGACAGCTGTTTCGTCCTAGTTTGGGACTCTTTGGCAGTACGAACCCACCCAACTTCGAACCCAAGACCTTCTAGTTACCAGGTGAGCTCGTAGACCATTAAGTCACTGAGACCAGATCTAACGGCCCATGAATTCTAACTTCTGCCAATTCACGATATAGCGCGACCACTAACCAATATCTTCGGCGAGTATTTGTCCTCACATGCAACCTGCTGCACCCTACTGGTCACGACTTCTCACTAGAACCCCAGGTAACTAATACCTACCTGAATAGGGCAAGTCGCTAGTGAGCATCTCATCGATATTCAAACCAAAACATGAATATTCGTTTTATCAAGGTGAATTCCCTAATAAATTGATATTTTCTACGCTGAAATAACACACTTTGCCGAGAATTTGTAAAAGCTGGAAACCGTGAATATTGACTACATAGAAGGATAGTAAATTGCCTGCCTTGTAATTTGACGATTTTTCGTTTTGTCTACCATGAGGTCGTAGGTTCATAGTATTGGATTGAAGATCTTCAGATGGAAACCAACCAAGCAGACCTACCTAATACATCTTGACTTGAAATCGTTCTCTGCCTGATGGAAGTTTCTGGTGAAGTCTCTATCTAAGTCCTCCAAATCCCCATAAAATTAACATCAGGGGAATGATTTAGTTATTACCGATCAGACCACTTAGGAGAAGAACCGTAGTGTATATGAGTTGCGTCGGGATTCGAAATAGTTGCACACAGGTTTTTGATTTTAATCATTTCACTTATCGTTCGTTTACAAATAGTCTATTTCAAATAAGGAAAGAGCTGTTCAATGCTTGTTGTTTTTTCAAAATCATTTCTCTAATTGGTGTTGATAGTTGATGAAATCTACCTTGAAACAAATTGAAAATTTGAATAAAGCAAGAACAACAGTGGATTTTGCAGAATAATATGGTACCATTAGTCATTTCGTTGGCTTCTCATCAACTCCTTACAGCTTAAATACATTATGAAGTTTATGTATAGAAAAGTTCTAACACACTTAACAAATCTCCATGATGTCAGTTGACAGGAGGTTTCGGACTTTGTGAAAAAGTGCTCAAAAAATTACACTTATATAGTTTTTGCACAGGGAGTTCAAGTTTAAACGAATCCAGTATATGCATACACTGATAAAGGAGCTACATTATGAAGACGAGAAATGCCTAAGATAGATGAGTGACTAATAAATTGATTAACAATGTAGTGAGTTCAACTCAAATCATAGAAACAAGAGACAAGCAAAATTACACCATATCAAATGGGGGTGAGGTTAAAGACAAAGATTAAGTAATCAAATGGAAGAGAGAGGAAAGACATTCAGTTACCAGGCAGGGAAAGGAAAGACTGATAACTGCTTCTTTTTCAACCCGAAAATCGGGTTCCAGGCGATTGCTTCTGCAAACTTCAGGAGAAATGAACTCTTTTGTCTTTTGATAATTTTAAGGGATTTTGCGATTTCCAATTCATAACCGGTATCAAGGCGATGTCTGATAATGACACTGTTGTAAGTGATTAATTCCTTGAGACGTAGGCTATTCGATATATGTTCAAAAAATCAGTTGTGTGCCCTTCTTTCTGTCCTTCCAATGTAACTGCTCCCGTAGATACACATAAATTTGTATATACAGTTGGAGTTAACATGAGAAGGGTATCTGTCGACTTCTAGTTGCACTAAAGAGTCAACATTGACCTCCATATTTTCTCTATATTAATCATTTCTGGTGCAATCCCATTTTTTAAGATGATTATGTA